ACCAGACCACAAGGGATGGAGGGAATGAACACTAGTGCGGGCTCCTTACAGGGGAGTGGGGTGAGCAGTTGGGCGGGAGAAAGGTTCCTCCTGCATGTACAGATTTGGGATTCGGGCATCTGGAGCTGATGATCAGGGTCAGAGGACTGAGGTTCATTCTCGTAGGCCAATAAATGGATCCCTGGGAGAAAATGAGGAAGGGAGATGAAACTTGGGCCTTCACCCCCCTCCTCCGCACCCAAGTTAAAGTTATTGCTGAATAAACGCCCACAGAGTGGGCATTGATCTGGAAATGAGGACATTGAGTTTTCCAGGGGACAAAGGACACATTTTGCCCTGGGGTAGGCGGCTATGGTTCTGCACACTTTAGAAGGCTCTGAGGACTATGCAAGTTATTACGAATCATTCTTGCCTGGCCAGAGTTTTCTAAGAACTTTTGCTGAACAACATTTTATTAGCCTGGTTTGTCTTACGATGTCTGCTTGAAAGCGGGTGGTTCTATCTCCTTTAGAATTTGAATCCACTTTGGAATTTTCTGAATTGTAGGCATTTTATGGCATTGCCATTTGTGTTGCCAAAGTTGGGTATGCTCTGACCCAGGCTCATTCTCACTTGTGTGTAGAGCACCTAGTAGTTTTCAAGGTATTCTGTCCCTGGGCAATTGAGGAATGGGACCTTTTTCCCATGGGGGGCGGGCTACTCACATTTAGTGGATATGGCTGGGTTCACCAAAGTCCTGTGGAGGGATAGGGCAGTCATTTAACCATATTGTCAACCTCAGTTGAGGAACCCTGATAGAGTCAAGTACATTTTGCTTGGTCATGTTACATGCTCCTAGACAGGCATGAAGGTTGAAATTTTGGTAACTCGAGTATAATTAGTTTGGATATTATGGGGATTTCTCTTTTTTTGTATCTAGTGGTTAGATCAGTGCTTCTCAACTGTGGCTGCATATTGGAATTTCCCTGGGATCTTTAAAAAATACTGGTGCCTGAGTCCCACCTCCAGATTTTTATTTA